TGCCCTTTCCAATACAAATGAAAACTCAAAAAGTAACCCTGGTGACTTAAGACTCATTTTCACAGAGTGGGTCATATTTGTCACTTGGAGACCCTTTTACCGTGGTTTTAATTGTTTTGTATAAATTTACATTAAATCTTATTGGACATTTCCTTTAATAATTTTCATTTTTTTTTTTTTGAAGGGGGAGGGGGGATTTTCCAAGATGAAGTGCACTGCTTTACCATTATTTTATTCTCCGAATTATTTGGCAGTGATTTCTTTCCTCGTAACTTTTCAACTTGCAATTTAGTAAAAATTTCTGTCCATATTTCTTTTCAACTCGTATAGTCGCAAAGAAGTCTACCACACCTTGGGATTAAACAGACCCACAAAGTTAGGGTGAGTACATGTACATGTGCTAATATACTTCTTTTTCCTAAGTATCCTATTTCAACTTGCCTTTACAGAGGGCTTGCAAGGCTGCCATCTTGCAGGCCAGTGCTTCTGTTCCACGGGGTATGCACAAAGGAGGTTTCCCAGTGGGGCAAAAGAACTGCCCTGCAAGATGGCTACAATGCAAAGCCTTTATACAGTGTGTCCTGCCAAGAACTGTGCTAACAACTACCATCCATTTTCAGCATACAGTGTCACCAGATGGCATTTATAACTCAACGTGTAGTTTTAAAGAGGAGATGCTTTGTTGATAATGTTTTTCCTTGCATCTCGTTTGCTTCTGCCACCAGAGACATACAAGTATACACTCTTAAACACGCACAGTGTACTGAGCTGTCAGTATCTCCACTCATTTCAAATTGCAAAGATGAAATGCGCATTTTGTTTTTTTCATTACGGGCAATTCACAATAGTGTGACACCAAGAGTTTTTAACACATTGGCCAATCATAATGCGCGAAAGTTGCCGAGCCTTTCCATTGGGTCGACAATTCGCGCATTGTGATTGGCCAATGCGTTGCCAACTCTTGGTGGCGCACTATTGTGAAATGGCCGTATTAGGTCTGGTAATGGGATGAGAGGGTGGAGCAAACTCCATTTTGATTGCTTGCGGGGAATATCTATGGATTGCTAAAATCAAATGGGACACATTGCAGATCACTTTTGGATAACCTAGATGATAAGATTGGTTTGATTCCACCATTAAAGCGGTCAGCTTTTGTTATGCTTTGGAAATCATCTATGAGTAGAGTTTTTGTGCAGTTTAGTGTCATGCTTATAGGCATTAAGTTTCAGTAGAAGTGGCTTGTACCATTCCGGCCCGTGCAGTTGGCATGTACTGTAGACCTTTTTCAGCCACGTGACTGGATTGCGAGAAATGTAAACAATACCACCACGTGTGGACCGCCGTGGCCATGGTGATCGCATATATTCCTATTGGCAGCTTCAACAACGTATAAGCACACGTTTCGAACTCTGCATGACGAGCTTATCTTGAATAAGTAAATTACCATCACAACACTATCTACTCATTACCATCACACTACATTGCGGTCCAGCACGATTGTGACATCACAGGAAAAAGGTCTATTGGCACTTGGGCTAAACATCTGTTACAAAGAACTTTTAATGTTCAACTTCTGTCAGAATGATTCTGTTTCTTTGGATGATAATGACCTCCGTATGTTGCATTCATTGTTTGTCCCCCCTCCCCAAAATTTGACATTGGCAGATGGAACAAGTTACATGTAAGCTGGTATCTTTGCAAATAGCTTTGCCATGATGCTGCAGTAGATAAAAGGCGAAGTTTTGGCTGGCTGACAAGTGCCCACCGGAATTGAAATTTATTGGTGCCTCGGGCGAAATATTCTGAATGCTTGGCATTTGGAAAGATCGTCATCCAATTGATAATCTCCACTTTGTAATTGCTGCTGACACATAGCGCTGGTCTTGCTCCATCCTGGACGTAAACAAACTCCATGGCAACCAAGGATCACATCTTGAGACTGGCGCACTGCCTAGTTGCCTCCTCTGATTTGACTTGAAGCTGACATCACAGAGCCGTACTGAAACTTATCTTTGTTGTATACTTGAGGTGTAGATAATTCACACAGGATGACAGCACGCAAGGCACGTGCACCATGGTGGGGTTGATTCATTGTTCATTTTTTTCAGTGTCTTGCAAAACTGCAAAATTTTGAATGCAGAATTAAGAACTTGTATAAAAAGTCATAAATTTGAGATTTGGATTCTGCCATTATCCAACAGTTTTGTGTTTGAAAATGATTAACAAAATGCAACTTTTTATGAGAAGCAGTTTTTTTCCCAGACAGAAATAAACAATTTCATTTACTTTTACCTACGGATAAAAGAACAAATTGCCTGTACTTTTGAAAGGGACAATAAAGAGATGTTAACATTTCAAATGGTAATTAGCAAATCTCAGCAATTCAAATTTTTTCCAGAATTTGTAAGAAAGTAGAAAAAGCACAAAGTGTTGATTTAAGCACACTGTGCCACTGGAAATAATCATCAAATAGACAAAAACTGAGAGATGGAAAATGGTTCAAGTTTCTTCGTTTATGCCCCAGTGTTCATCTCTTAAATCTTTCAGTGGCACATTTTTCAAAACATGCCATAAAGAAATCACGCCTATGAAAGACAATGTGGCACAGTTCATTTTTCCTTTGTATTATCTGTACGCTGTGTCATGAATAAAAATTGGACTTATGGGAACAGTTCTGCTCATGTTCTGGGAAGAGCCGTAATCCTCCCCCAGTGTAAGCTCAGAGAATGCGGTCACCTTGGCTGGCGTCCTAGCTTGAAGTTAACTACGGGGAGGAAGGTAATGCCAAGATACTCACACCTGGACTCAATGTGGAGAAAATCCGTTTCAGGAGTGCAGCTACTTGTATGCAGATGGAGGGCCGGCTTTGTTCACGAATGTCACATCGTGCCGAGATTACTGATGCAAGAAATGCTTGCTTTTTTGATTGATTGCATGCTCGTATAAGACTTCAATTGACCAACTGCTTTTAGGTTTATAGAGTTTGTTCTCTGCCCTGTGGTGTTTTTTGTGTCCATGTGGACTCCAAATGTCTACCATTATAGACTTTTTTCTCCCAGAGTTGCTGTTGTCAAATGTCGTTGGTCAGAAAATTGCCGGCCTGATTTTCTAAAGAGCTCTGATAAATAACATGATTGCAGAAAAATGATGCAGTTGTTGTGGTTACCTGGGATGATGTCTCTGACTTGAATATCAATAGCATTTCCAGGGTGGTACTTAACAGTGAAGATCTAAGGTTGACAGTTGCAGGCAGTGTTGACTCAACCAGAACCTTTGTATGCCAACTTTTCTGGCACTGCCTGTTATCCAAGAAGGAGCACACAAACATGCCTGCACGTAGGCCGTCTTCTGGGGGAGTTGCTTGAACGTGCTCCCCCCTCCAAATCGTGTTTGTTTACCTTCAAGGGTGAACATTTTCCATGACTGTTTGGCGCCTTCAGCTGGTGCATGTTAATGGGGCCTCAGAATGTCAGAAACTCTAAAATAACAACTTGCAGGCTCTCGGAAGGACTTGCCTGTCATTAAAGTCTCATGGACCACTTCAACAAACCTCAACCTACATATTGAAAGCTGAAGCTGGGATTGTTTCCCCCATTTTTTTTTCCAAGGAGGATCCTGATTGGATGCTCTCTCAGAGAGAGAAGCAGAATGGAATCCGATTAATCAGCTAACTAGAACTAGAGATGACAGCTCTGTAAATGTTTTTGCCTACGTGGCTGGCAATTTTGAAAATTATGCCTGGAGACCTTTCGATACGAAAGCCACATGAAAACATTTCACTGTGCAAATAAACCAACCGAAATTGTGGTATTGATGAATGCGTCTGCATTGCATTCCTGACTTCATAACCAAGAAAAACAACTAATGAATACCTGCATCTCATTAAAAGATGCTCGGGCAGGAGTTGAGGCCAAGACAGAGGTGGTGCCAGGAAATGTTTGCATAATTTATTTCCTCCCAGCAAGCTGTGACTGAGGTATGCCATGTATCATCCCAGGGTGGGATGGGAGCGAGTTTATTTTTCTGGGGACACTGAATCTCGCCGATGTTGCAACATCTCAGCGGGAAGCCCATCTTCTTCCGGTTTCTCCCAGGCGCTCTCGTAATCTCCTGCATCCGAGGCATTCCTCCTCTTGGAGTCTTGGGATGGGTCAAGACTGCCCAAATAGCTTGTAATGTTCGGGAACGACACAAGCTTTGGAGTATTTGCTTGCTGGTTTTCTCCATAATCTCCTTTGAGGAGTAAAGTCGCAGTACTGGTACATAGCATCTGCGGACAGACAGCTGAGTTGCCCAAAAGGGATGACATCCATCATCTGCAACGGAGGCCAACATCAAAGTGCACGTGCCACCAAATTGCAAATTTCACTGCCTCTGTCGCGACTCAAAAGTAGATTCGGCGAGCATTTCAGTGGTTGATGAAACGTCTTTCCAGACATTTGAGTGATACCCACCGCAAAGAAGGTATAGAGTTGAAAATTTGCCACTCTGCTCTGGAAGGCGAAACCAGAGAATGGGACCTTGTGCAAGTCAGATGCAGATATCGTTTCAAGAAAGGGGCTTGATATTGTCTGCTGGCATATTAAAGGGCTGCTGCTCAGTTGGCATTGATTGCGATCATTTGAATGAACCATCAAGGCTTTAGCGAAGGAAAAATGGATGACATTACTGAAAATGTTATTGTGCAAATGAAGACCGCCCACTGCAAAAATTGCACCTACTAATAATTTTTTTTTCATTCTGGCATCTGATGGTAACTCAACGGGGAAGTTAATCAGGACTTTGCATTTGCAGATGAATTCAAAATGGACTTCAGCGGATAGCATTCAAATGAACTACATAAGTGATTTTTTTATTTAGTTTGCCAGATTCAACCAAGCCAGGTGCATTTTGGGATGCTTCCATGATCTGCTTTCAGCATTTTCTCTATTCACAGAAGAAATAGAAATATTTTGTAGTGAGAAAATCTGAGACGAGTGTGTGTGTGTCATCTGAATGACAAGTCACTGGCATTACCTCACGTCTCCAGATATGTGATCCCAAATTCGTCACCCGAGCTCTTCGCCTTATCATCTTGAATTCCATCCCCATATCACTTCCGAGAAGGTTTTGATGACTCACTGGTTCCACGTGAACTCAGCCGAGACCTTCCACAGGGTCACAGGTCAGGTTCCCGAAACTGATCCATTCTGGGATGCTCTCTTTGTCTTGCTGGAGAAATTGAAAACTTGCAGAATGACTGATTACCTTTATGTGGTACTTACATGTATGTCAGTTTGGTGTTGCCCTGTTGAATGATGCATTTTCACCGGTGATGCGGTCACAAATATAATTCTCTTGGGCAAACAGCATTTAATGGCTGACTTGCTTCTTTGCAAACCTGGCGGGCTACTTCATGTATCTGTATGCGGCAAAGGCTCAAATTATAATTGATGCTGATATTTTTACTCTGTGTTTGTGCCCCATTCACATCCTGCGTTGATCTGCAGAAGTTTTCTGAGTGGATACATAAAAGAAGAAAGGATGTCTACCTCTGCTTGAAGGCTTGGGTTGACATCTGTTGTGCAGATAAAAAAGAAATCTGTTGTAAAGTTTAGTGTTTTTTTTTGGTGTGAAACCCAAGTGGGCTGGCTTTGTTTGGGTGACGACACAGCATAGGTCATTGGCATAGTGTAGGAATTAAATCCTGTGACCTAAGCCCATTTCCCAGAAGTATGGGCAAATAAAAGATACGAAACCAGTGCGGGCATACCCCTGAACATGTGAGGTACTTTGACTCTGATGTGGCTGCATTGGTACCGGTAGTCTGTCCTCGTTGTTGAAAAAACTGTTTTGGGAGGTTGGCTCCATAAGTGACTTATTCGGATTCCAATCATTGGTGTCAAAGGATATTGTGTGTGTCCTAGCTGGTTGAATGTTTGGTCACATCGGGATATCGTCACTGATTTATTCATCAGTTTGGAAATCAATATCTTGTAAATATCTTTTTCTTGAACTTGTTGATTTCCAATGCTACGAGTTGTTTCTTGATGAGTGCCACTTGAGGGATTCCCCGCTCAATCATCACTTGGTGGCTGCCAATATCCAAGGGTCGCTGCAGAATTCGTGCTCATGTTGTGATTGATCGGCGAGTAGCGAACGGTGAAATTGAAGAACCCTCTGAGTTGGCTTTGCATGCATCAGCGGCCAAGCCTTGCTGATCACCCGGCGCCCTATAATGAATCCAACGTCATTTGCCCTGCCCTCTGCGCTGAAGTCCTTGCAAACGGCTCTCCATGGCATGTGGAGGGCGTTTCTCCTGACGTGCGGGCTCATCTGGATTCTCATCTTCTACTCCTTCCTGTTCCTCTGGGAGAATTCTGGCACTCCTGCCGATCTCTGGAAATCACTTTTCGTGAAAACGGCCAGAGAGGACTTCCAAGCCCGGGAACCTGTGGAGGAGCACATGGAGCCTGCTAGGGAGGTCAGAGTTCATGTCAAAGGGCACAGGTTGGACCATCGGAATGGTGATCTCAAGGTCAGTGAAGCTGTCACTAGCCAGTTGCCTATACCTGGAGCCCTGTCTAAGGGGCAGAGCTGCAAGTTCAAAGATCATGGCCTCAGAAGAAATGACTTCAAACTCCATGATTCTAATATGCCAATAAAAGAGCAAAGTGTGCTTCGTGAGAGACCTTGCCTGCTCCTATCACAGCCCCCCTCTCAACATGGGAAAGGAGTACAACCATCATCTCCAAATCCACATCAAAGTGAAGAAGCCAGAGGTCAGCCCATGAAGGCTCCAAATCGCAAAGGCTGGACAATCTGCATTGAAGAGTCCTACGTGTCTGAGGTCAGGAGGAAGCCTGGATCAACTGAGTTGAAAGATAATCACGTCAGCGGGGATAAGCTGAAACAACACGAAGGCAGTTTGACCAGCTCAGGTGTGAACGTCAGTGGAGAGAATAAGGAAGAGGTGAATTAATTATAGATATTCCCTTTCTTGTTGCATTGCGTCCTCCTTTTCTTTGGGTCCTTTTCTTTTTGGTTCAATTTTACATAATTTCATGCTGCGTTATCACAGTAAGTCTTCTATAAAACGCAATGCCAATGGTACCGGTGTATTGAAATACTATCCGCCTTTGAAAATAAACACAACTGAATAAAATTCATTTCTGCTGGTGTTTCCCAAGAACAGCATTTTATTGTGCCCTGCTTCAGTTACAAGATTGTCAAGGAAATTTGCACTGTACATTGAAAATGTCTGGAGGGACATATGGGTAATTCCAGAAAGGGGTCAATTTTTTTTGTGTCCCTGTAAGTTCAGAACACCTTTTTGTAATTTCCGAGAGTGATGAATTAATGCAAATTACCTGCCAAACAAATAGTAATACATGTAGTTTGAAATTGGAACCGTTAATATTTCCATGTCAAATAACTGAGGTCAGATGTAACAGGGACACGAAAATGTCACACTTTTGGACCCCTAATTTCTGGAATTACCCATATCCAAGTCATCCTTATTGGTTTACATGTACAGATCTGTAAATTCATTTGCATGTTGAACCAGATTCAGCCAATCAGATCGTTTGTTGCACGGTTGGTCTGCTTTCTGCTACAAATGTTCCCACTGTGTTTTTCCCTCTGTTGCTTTTGATACAGATTTTGAAAAGCACTCATTTCTTTCAAAGCTAATCTGTGTTTCTTATGGCTAAGAAGATCTCATCCAAGCACTGAATGCAGTTTGTCAAATAAGCCCCCCCCCGTCCATATTGATAAAACCTTGCTTGCTTACAGGAACTTAGAATTTTTGAGGTACTGTAACAGCTTGCTTTGAGATCCAGTCTGTATGCACTTCTCTGTTGGAAAAGGTGACAGATTTGACATTAGACTTTTTGTGTTAGATAAAACCATTGTTTGTCTAATGCACGTATGCCGTATATACATGTACCGATATTCGCTACAAATCCTTTTTTGGGGGATAGGGGTCTAATTGAACTAATACATGTACATGTATATGGTCCATGGGTGGTTTAAATATCAAGTTGATATACTGTAGGCATTTTATGAATTACTTTCGGTTTATTGGCCTTTCTTAAAACAGTGTTAAAATTCTGGAAAAACCTTTTTTTAATCATGCCATGTCAACATGATTGTACATTAGATGAGCCAGTAATGCATGGCCATTGTTAGAAAAATAAAATGTGTGTTTGACTGAAACCAATTATTGAAAGATTGAAAGTATCCATTACTATTAGGTAACTGACATGTACATGTAGTTGACACTTTCTCTTACCAAAACTGCATGATAATGATGCGATCATTGGACGGGTCATTCTGTCAATCTGAGGTCCAAAAATGTGATGTTTTAGGTTCCTGTTACACCCGACCTTTGACCTGGAAATATCATTGAAATTGCCTTCCAACTGTTGTTATTTGTTTGTCAGGTAATTTGCGTTTCGGGTGCTTAATCACTCTTGGAAATCAAAGAATGTGTCCTAAACTCACAGAATTGTTCAACTGATCTAACATGGACATTATAAAAAAAAAACAAGTGAAGCCCAAATTTATAGAATGATCCATACATAACAACTGTTGCCATGGTCATCTGAGTTGGAGAAAAACTTCGGTCTGCAGGTGCATTCTCCAATTGCACGCAGTCAAACCAAAGAGGAAGCTTTGCCTTTGGAAGTGGGTCGTGCATAATTAGGGACTGGGACCATCCACAAATGCTACATTTGATCTAGACATTTTACGATGGAAAGTGCGACACCTTCCTGTTGGAAAGGACTATTTGTTTCCGCAGCAGTTCCTTTGGAGATGATGTGTGAAGTGGCAGCACCATCAATAAATTATCAGTTTTTCAAGTAACACTGTTTGTAGCATATTCACAAGGTAGACACAGTGCCCGTAGGTCACGAAAAGTTCTTTTTAAAAAAAATCTTTTCTCGGGAAACATATCATTTGGAACCCATTATTGAGTGTACTACCACTTGCTTTTACTTTTTTTTCATTTGTGAAGCCTGCATTGTTAATCTACATGTATATTAATTTGGCATGGATTATGTCCAAGCAACATGTGGTCTTTCATTTTACCACTGCTCAAGTGAATGACATCTACATGTAGTCTTTATTCATAGATGACAGGCCATTGATGGAAACATTAAGAGATGCTCTTATGATCTCTTGTCAACTAGCGATAACAAGTTTTTTTTGGCATACATGTACTTAGTGCAGCTTTGTATATATCAGTTATATCACTTGTAGCCTATGAAAATAAGAGAAAGAAATTCAATACATGCATGCTGTTGTCAAAAGAAATGCAACCAAATTTGGATAAAGTTTGGTACATTTTCTGTCAAGAAGAAACAAGGTTTGACAGAAAGGTTTGACCATCTGGTGGGGTTTGCATTTAAGTTTTCAGCCTAGATGTCAAGAGTTGTTTAGGATTGTATTATTGATCAGTTTTAATTTCACTTTTATCAAAAAACCAAATTGGCATGTGGTCATTGACGGCACTAACCTGCACCAGGAAGCTATTGATATACCAAAAAGTCAAATATCGTTCTGGGTTGGAGATCAGTTACATTAGATAATTGCAGGCGAGTGTCTGATGATGACCAAATGTTAGAATGTAAGAATGGCGTACTCTCTCCTCCATGATGTGGTCTTGGCACCAAAGAACGGTCCAGTCAGGAAAATCACTGGTGTCCATGGAAGCAACGGTTTACCGGAGAAGCTCTTGATACGTGCAAATCTGTTTGGAATTGGAGAATTGCCAAAGGTACATGTACATGTTGGAGAATACTGAGCTTCAGGAATACCAGGGTTATGGCCAAGTTTTTAATATTTTATTTTTTTTAAATCATGTCAGGCTCATGTGGTGTGCCTGACTCTTGCAAATGGAGGGCACAAAACCAGGGGAATGGTGTGTATACATTACAGTTGTGCCCATATATATATATATATGTATGCAGGATGCTTGACTGGGATGGCGTCTGGCTCTGAAAGAATGTATAGTCCTGTGATTTTGGCAGGAGCTTCATGATGGCCTGTACTGTGGTAGGGATTGCTGTGGACAAACATACACGTATCCATTGCTGACTCTATGAACAGACACTCAATGGTTACTCCAGTGTCGAGTGTCATTCCTCCCTAACAAAATCTGTAGATCCGCGTAATTCTAGTTTCCATGAACTGTATGCATGCACTGAATGTGTGCACTCAATCTATTTTTGTTTTCTCGTTTTCACCAAGTGAAGCTTTTTCCCAAAATTCGCAAGTTAAATGGCTTTTGGTTTAATCATCTTTATAACATCTTTATGGGTGGAGTAAATTGTTGTCAAATAATTTAAAGTATCTTTTTTTGAAAGGTCTGTCACGTTCTTGTGTGTCAAGTTAGTGAAAGTCAAACCATTCTGTTAGTGTTACCGGTATGCGTCGGTGTTTGCGGTGTAAACGCACACCCACGTGCCCAGTTCGCAAAAGGAAAATATTTTATTATACAGTTTTCATGCAGTGTCTACACTTAATATTTTTGTTTCGGTTTGTGATAATGATGACGATATGCACTGAAGGGAATCAGGCTTTCAGGTCTGTTTGCATTGGCATGGTGAGGGTTAGTATAGACTTGAAATGAAGTTTACATTCGTGTGTATGGTTTTCCACTCAAGGTTAGCTACCAGTGATTATCCCAAAGCCACAAGAAATGTAGGGAAGCCTTTGCAGGATGGAGCCAGACAGTGGAGCCTAATATGATGGCTCTGTTATTAGCATGGAGTTTTTTTTTTCACGATCAGCTTAGCAAAGCAATTTGTGCTTGCCAGGCAAGCATGGGATCTGAGCATGCAAGGCCCCCCCCAAGTCGACCTCTTTTAAGAAACAATGAAACTTGATACGTTCATATCTTTCATTGTCCTTCCTTCCAAAAGCATGTGAAAATCCACAGAATGCAGCCTCACCCTCAGAAGGGCCATAAAAGGTTACATAATAATTCAAATTTTTTAGGTCCCCCCATAATTTTGCCTCCCCTCCTCAAAAAAAAATGGTTCTTGATCTGCCCTTGTGTGCGTATGTGTATAGACAAATGATTTCTAGATGATCAACATTCATATTTTCCTGATTTTTAGGAATATACATGCACTGATGTTCCCAAACAATCGTGGACGTTAAACAAAAGAATTAATGACCGATACGTCCACGATTGCCAAACATGTACGCCTTCCAAAAAAGTTGAAGTATGAACAAAAGAGGACAATAGGAACGTCCACGATTGCCAAATAAACACATTTGCATGTACTTGCAGTATGCACACATCATAGTTATCTCCCACAAGCCCAACGAAGCAGACAAGACTTCATTTGAATGTAAGCAGTTCATTCAAAATCGCATGTACATGCTTGACACGAAGATGCAAGCATCCGTTACTGAATGGGCTTTGACGATCGTGTGTGTGTGCGCTTACATTCTTTCAAAGTAAATTTGAGTCAGAATCGAATGCTCTTTTAAATGAGTGCACTTCCTGACCAAGTTAGCCCCCAGGTTACATCCATTTACTTTCGTTTTAAATAACTTGTGATTCAGTCTCGTTCCATGTTAAGGCTTCTCATCACCAGAGCTCCACTGAAGTCCAGGTCCTTGAAGGCAGGTCATAAAAACTCATAGTTTGGATCCTTTCTTCAACTTGCCAAGAAATCCCGGGCTGACAGAGAAGATCACTTGATTCTCTTGTCAGTACATGTAACGTTTTCTTACTTTCTTTAACCACACTATCATAACGTACATTGGCCTGTGCCTTTTTCTTTTTTTCAGCCAAGCATATTTGGAACACTCACCAAGGAGAAAACACCCAAAGATGACAGCAAAAAGGTAAGTGAAGCTTGCTGAAAAAGGCTTGGATCATCGCTAGACAAAGATGTTGTTTTTTGTACATGTGTACATGCACAGGCCGGCCAGAGAAGATCAAGGGATTTGGTTATCTGTGCATTTCAGGATTGTATTGGTGATTCTTTCCATTTTTCAATATCTGCATTCGGGAGGTGCTAGTCAGCCAGACGCCATATTGTTTTGATTTCTGAGGTACAGAAAGTAACAAATGACAATTGACATCTTGGGGTAAAATCCTCATTAACTTCTCTGGAGAGAGTGCATTTTTGAACGAGGAGTATGGGTGCATCATTGCTTGTGAGTACCTTCAAAAGTGCAGGAACATGTGTTGGTTTACTCCTGAACAAACGCTCACGTCCCGCTGCAAATGCACAGACCTCGGGTGACATTCAAGCCAACAGTGTTCTACCCCCCTGGCGAGGGTGGGTTCTCAGTGGGCTCATCTTTTATACAGGTCATTTGCATCATACTGGCTCTGCTTACGTGAATCTCTGACATCAGTTGCATCCATGGGTCATTCCTTGTTTAAGCAGTTCAACTAGGAAATACCCACGAGTGTGCACTTTGAAGAGATTGTTAAAACTGCAAGGCCGCAATTTTTTTTTTTCAGTATGACTTCATTAACCACAGTTTTCACTTTCAGAAAAAGCTACTGATTTACTATTTTGAAAAAGATTGAAGTCAAAAAAAGCATGTGGTCAGACCCATCATTTTGAGAACTAAGTGGGACAAAACTTCCTAGATTTGAAATTTGCTAGGCTCTAAAATGTGTGGTGTTGATGCGAAACAGACTTAGTACATGTATCAACTATTCTCCATTCACAATTGTGTTACAGCAAGTTACTTTGTACATATAACACTTTCTTAATCAATATCAAGTATGCACTGTAACTTTGTGTGTCCCATTTTTTTTTTTACAAGGGAAACTACAATTTAAATTTTACCAACTGCAATAATTTTTCAAGACAGCATCACATTGCAACTTCTGCTGAAAAGGTAGATTTCAGAAGGCATTTCGGCGAGTTTTAGTACTTCATTGACAGTTATGCATTGTTACAAGTGGTATGTGTTTCCTCTGGACTTGTTATGGCATAAGAATTGAAATAGTCTTGACGAAACTTTGTGTCTCAAGCAGGCACGTGTGATTCTACTGGGGGGGACCAGATAATGAAATACATGTATCTTTGTGAGGAGTCCAATGCATGTGATTGTGAGCATGTAGCGTGAAACCTGTATGGTGTGGGGTCGGCAAGTTTGTGTAAGGTTTTGTGCTCTGTACTGCACGATGCATAAACCTCACTGAAATATCATTTGAGCAATCGGTATGTTGAAATTTCAGCCTTTCAAATCCATGTTTGATAGGTTAAAAAAAGATAAGTTGATTATTGTAAGATCTGATGTAATAATTAAATTTTCAAAAATGACATATCTTAAACTGCACATTATGACGGTGATGTTTGGTAAACTTGTAAGAGGAAGAGTGTCTCACGGACGCATGAAACATAAACTCAAGAACCCACATTTGCCGATGGGGATGATGACGGTCACCTTAAAATCAGTATTGGAAAGTCTGAACACTCATTAGTGGAGTTTTCCTATTAAGAAAAGCATCCTTTAATTTTTGTGCACAAACCAGCTGCGATGTTAAAGCTTTGCCTCAGATGACATCACAAACTTGATGCCATGCACGAGCTTTAAATCTTTAAGTTTAAAATAGTATGGGGATATGTTCCAGTAAAACTTTTATTTACTTGAGGAAAGCCCCAAAATGAGCAGTCATACTGAACACGATCTTACTTTGCCTTAATCTGTTGTTTAATTAGAGTTAGGTCTGTGGCTTTGCTCCATTGGAAATACGTGGAGTCACCGAGAAAATAGACTGTGCCGTGAGCTCTGGAAACCTCTTTTGGACATTAACACAGCCTGTGATGCGGCTTGTTTGCGTACTGCGTGAAATGCCGTGGGACTCGTCGTTGTTACTGGGCACGGAAGGGGCAGGAATTGAAAGATCCTGATTGAAAGTGAATATTAAAATTTCCAATTTCCAATGTGATCTAAGTAAAATTATCACACACTGCTACAAAAACTATCCACTCAAAAACTTCCCCTCTGAGAATGCAAATTATAGAACTCTATAAGGGGGGCCCGGCCCCCCTACTATATTTTTTTGGGGGGGGCCACTGGCCCCCTGGGGCCCCCCTTCCTACATCCATGTCAAGCATGCCATCTCAGCTACATGTAAATGGAAAGTGGTTCCATACACCATTCTTTTGTCTGTGTGAACTTCATGTGTTGTGGAAAATAAATAAGCTGGCCAGGTCAGGAAAACAGATGTCAATTTTGGTCTGTGTGTCTCACCTTGGACCCATATAAAGATTTCCTCATGAAGTTGACGCTTTTGGGAATTGTACAAAAGCTCAGCAAAGCAGCCTGCATATTATTAAATCTGTTTCTGGTGTAATTTTACATCAGCACCACTGCACCATCGTGCAGTCCTCTGTGTTCGTGATAACACCTTTTGTTAATTTAATAACGTGACATACAGAAAAGTGAAGTGAAACAAGTACCCATAGACATTTCTTTGCTCTAAATAGACTCTTTGGTGTGGAATACTGCACTGGGATTTTTATTTTGCTTTAAAAAAATCCTGTGAAGTGTATGGCAGAAAAACAGTGTAGGTGTAGACTTTGCCTCTGATCCTTTTTCTTTTTAGGAATTGAAAGTCTTCAGAACTACTACCACCTGTCTTGCTTTCTTTTTGGGGGTGGAGTGGTGGTGATGATTGCTTCATGGATTAAAAAAATGCACAGTAATTGTCAAGAAAAATGTACCCATTTTTTTCTCCCCCACCCACCCTCAACCTGGACACACCACTGGTACATGTACAGGTACCTAATAAGCGCCAAGCAATGCCCCTTCCCTTTTCTCCAGTATCACTTGTCACAACAGCCTGTTTACTTTCCACCTAATTGAACCCAGTAATTGAACCCTGACCGCCAGACACCTATTGGTCTCCTTCCTTCTACCGGGTCATTGACATCGGAGTGTGGGAGGATCTGGTCAGTGATCATCTTTCGGTTTACGGTCAAGAACTGGTCAAGACTGCTTGACCACTGCCCAGGTAGTTCGGTTTTGGCTTTGTGACCAATCACTTGTTGTTTCCTGTTCGTTACTCGTCTGCCAGAGATAACACATTTTTTTTTCCCCCCGCGGTGGTGGGGAGGTGCTACTACATCTGTCCTTTTTTGTCCGTCTTACTTTCATTGCTATGACAGAATGACCAGTACATTGACCCCAATGGTGCTAAATCTTCCGAGTCCAATATGATTTTGCACACTAGCTTTCTGTAATTTCTCCGCTACATTTATATGGCCTGGCTGTATGCAAGCACTACAGAAGTAGCAAACAAACAGTTTAGATGTCTTAGAATCCTTGTCCATGATACACGCATTTGCATGCTTGTCTGTGCAGAACATCACTCCACAAATATGAACAGAGCTAGTGCAAAACCTACAGATGCTGATTGGCCATTATGTGTCAACATCCAGAATAAAGAGGGTATTTTTTCAAGTTGTTGGTTTGACTCAACACTAAATAATGATTTAATTAAATGGGGCTGCATTACACTGTATTTTCACTAGCCTAATATACACAAATATCTCATAAAGTTGAGAGCTTGTAAAACTTACTTCAGTCATTTGAGGGTACATGTACATCAATAAAATGCAAGTGACCCTGTCTACCTCATTTTACTGTGATGCTTCAAAACAATGTAAGATCAATACAATGAAATACCCGAACAATAAAACTTTAATTGTATGGGGGTAACTAAAGGTGTTCAGTGGTGCAGTCTGGGGTGGAGATGAAATGAAATTATTTTGGTGTAAATGTATGGAGAATCAAAAGTACTGATGAGTACATGTAAATCTGCTGAAATATATTGGAAAGGCAACAAAAACCCTACAATTTTTCATTTACATTGTGTAGTCTCAGGGACACAAGCAAGATTTAGTGTGATGTCGTCAGGAGTTATTTTAACAGTCTGTTGTCACAAGAACGCTGATCATCTGATCATGAGGAATATTAAGTCATTGAGTTCCTCCTGCGACACTGTGGATGTAAAAAAATCTTAGGTCTCTGGTTTTCAATTTGACAAATGCTGGCTGCCTGGAGTGAGTCATTATCAATATGGAATGACTGCATTTTGTATCTTGTACCTTCTGTACAGTGTCCGATGTACAATGGAATTGATCTTTTCAGCTGGGGACTGTGTGGTGTTTTCCCCTCCCTTCTTCACTCCAAAAGAGAACTTTCTTTAGCAGGTGTTTTGAAAGAAATATGCAATCAAGTTTTAATAAATAATAAACAATTCAGCAAATCTTTCAAAAATTGAGAGAAAAAAATCTTCATAAATTGAGGAAAATTCCAAAAAGCATCCCCCCACCAGGGCTTCTGATAAATGTGTTTAAAATTTGCTTTTAGTGTTTTCTTTTCTTTAACATATGTAAATAGGGTAATTCATTGGCCTTAAATGGTTTTCAAACTGATTAGTTATTGACAAACAGTAATTTAAATGATTTCAGCAGTAACACTACCACGTGGCAAAATGTAAGAGGAAGTTCAATATGTGTAAGTATGAATCAGCACTTTGGTGGGATAACTTGGAGTTTTTGGAAGACAGCCCTCCTGGTATAATTTATAACCCTGTTTACCTCTCTGGTAGGCAGCTTGCACCCTTGCCAGGCAGTCACTACCCCACTACAGGGCCCAGGTTTCACAGGTGCATGAGCTTGCTGGGTGGTATCTGATTCCAGGATTTGTACATGCTGAGTCATGGTCAGCCAAGTCAGACATCCATTCCTGTTGTCTGTGCTTTGCAGACTATGTAAAGTATTTGCTCCACCAGGAACTTTGTGAGATGTTGGGTTTTGGTCAGGGAAGCATGAGTAATCGTGCTAAAATCTCCCTAAAAAAGGTTGGTT